TAAGATAGCTTCCCTACGGATTATCCGCACGGAATTTCGCAACGAGTTTTTATTTTCCGTCGGGGAAACTTTCGTTTGCCATAAGAGTCAGCCTCAACAGCAGATTGTCTGTATGTTGTTGTTTCTCACATCATTATTAATTAGCTCTACAAGTCTAAAGACAAGAAATGGGGAGCCCGTGGTCTCAAAACCCGGCACATACATACGACGCCGAGGGGAAACAAAACAAAAATAGGGTACAAACCACTCGGAAAGAGAATACAAAATGTCTTGTTGAGCCTGTTGTTGTTGTTGTTGTTGTTGTTGTTGTTGTTGTTGTTTTCTTCACATTGAACTCGTGTCAGTTGCTAATCCCAAAATCTAGCAAAGACTCGGTCCGTGGTCACAAAAATTCTAGAGCCATCAGAAGATCTAAAGAACACACACACTATTAGCAAGGAAAGGGTACGCAAGCCCGAGGAGGTACACCTGCAATCCCTGCAGCACGTTTGCGTGCTCACAACTGAACTACACGCCCACACACTACAATTCGACTACAGCAGCAGCATCACCCCCCTTGTCCCGCATCTATCTAACAAAAATGAATGTTTGTCGACTACAACAGCGTACTGCTGTCTGAAGTGCTGTCTGTACAATAATAACACCATGGTGCATGGTACACGAGCTCGGGGCATGCAGCTGCTGTCTGAAGTGCTGTCAGAATGAGCCCGTGGACATACAATGAAGAAGAACGCCCAACCAAAGCCATCATTACAATTGACAATCACCCGAATCTATCCAGATCATCTGTGTTAGGCACAGCAGTGTAAACATCGACACTGACCAGGAATCGTTCCACATTGAAGGGGTCTTCCACGATGCAGGTACACAATTAAGGCACCCGGGTTATCCGCGCCATCTCTGCCGCGTCTCTCTACAAAACCAGTGACGTCGTCACACACACCCTGTGGTCCATGACCTTAAAAAAAAAGGGACATATATACGTCATAGACGATAGCACAAAACGTGTAGACTACTCAGGAAAAAAACGGAAAAATACTTGACAACACAAGAGATGTTTGTCCGTGCGCCACGGTTCGATGCCGTCCGCCTGCCCCGGTTCCGCTGCTCCGGTTCCGCTGCTCCGGTTCTACTGCTCCGGTGCCGCTGCTCCGGCGCCGCTGTGGCCAGTCCTAGCACGACCAAACTCGACCCGTTCCGCTTCGTACACGCTCTCGTGGCTGTCCTTCCCTGTCGGTTTACTCCCTCGTTGCACTTCGGGTTCTCGGTCTGAAGATTCTCGCGCCGAAGGGTCAACCAGCCCAACCAGTTCGTCACCACCTGTCCCCTCCTCCTTTGATGGCAAAACCAGGTTACTGAGGCAGTACAGCTCCCTCTAGCAAACCTTGGGCCGTGCACATACTGCCCGTCTTCCTTTCTGATGACGTCTGCCTCCGCGCACAAAGATGAGATAGGCATTGCTGCCTCCACCGACGGCCTGGAGGCCCGCGCATCTGCACCTTTGTACCTGACGCACCAGTGCCGACCCAACTCCACCACTACGCACGCCTCGCGGCGGGTGCGCCGCAGCAAGAAGGTATCGGTCCCCTGAGGGTGAGTCTAGTCCTGCTCGCTAGAAAGACCCCCCCCCTCGCCATGGGTCATGCCTGCGCAAAACCTTGCCGAGGCAGCGAGGGGAAGAAAGGAATGAGCCTGTTACCCAAAGGGGAGATATCGTTGTATGCTGTCTGGGAAACCGTAGACATACAGGTAGCCTTTCGCTCACGCTATGGATCCATTGCTAATCTATCTTCGACTTATTTCAATAGTACCCAACACCTCTCGTCTGCACCTTCCCAACATAACATATATGAGACACACAAGACAGCTACCAAACTGATTTGTTGAGCCTGTTACCCGCAGGGGAGATGTCCCTATATGCTGCCTGGGAAATCGTAGACATACAGGTAGTTTTCTCTGACGCTATGATTCCATTGTTAATCTGTCTGTAGAGATGGACTCGTTGTGTCATATTAAGAAAAAAAAAAATAGATAAGAGATCGATTTGTTGTGTGATATTAAGGTGTAGTAGTACCTCTTCGGGCTCTTGTACACCTTTTTCTTGCTACGTGTGCGTGTTCTTCAGATCCTCAGATGGCTCTAGCACTTTCGTGACCACGGGCCGAGAGTCTTTGCTAGATTTTGGCATTTAGCAACTGGCATACGGTTTAAAATGTGAAGTCAACAACAACAACAATTAAGAAAATAAAAAGAAAATAACAGGTATCGCACCGACCGTTCGAGGAAAGAGCCCTCGGAAACCGAACAAAATGAGAGAAAAACAAAAAAAAAAAAAAAAAAAAAAAAAAAAAAGACTTATTTCTATAGATAGAGATGGATTTGTTGTGTGATATTAAGAAAATAAAAAATAAAGGAGGACCTCCCACACCCGCCCAAAGAAAAAATCAAAGGGGAACGTACCAGAACCAGGCACTACGCACCAGGGCATGGGAGTAACGGAGTAAACAGGACAAAGAGGCGGCAGATGGGCAGTACGTGGTCGGGGGTTGCAGAGTTCCTGCTGCGTCTACCATTTTTCCGTGGTGACCAAACTTTTCAATATGCAGTGGGAAGCTAGTTAGGACAAGGGAAAGGGACGGTTCATCCAACTTGGTTCGTCAACCCTTGTCGCGACAAACACCGAGCAGAGGGACTCACACTGAGGAGTGAAAGAAAAAAGGTGGGGCAAAAAAAAGTTCCTTTGTGACCCCCTCTATTAGACTAGACAGATGATGCAAGAAACATCACCGACCGGCGTTTAGACTGTCGCCAGAATAGATGCGACGGACACAACACGCACACGCCTGGAAACAACAGATAGACGCCGTCCATCTTTGCTTGAAGCATTGACACAATAGAGCGACACGTAATCACCGGCTGGCGTAAGCAGTTAGCAGTCATGCAGCCGGGAAACATTGATTAACCGTTCAAGAAACCTGCTTACAGACGCGAGTGGGACTTCGACTCAAGCTGTCTCCCGCCCACGAACGGATCGGACTGGACCGGACAGCCCAATCATCTCCGAAGATGGTCAAGGTCCATGTTTAGCACGCTCTGTTGTTGTGGATGGTGTTTTTGTTACAGGAAAAGTCGGTACCTCCGTACAGTATCTTGCGAACCGCTTACCCCCCGAAGGCAGAAATGTAGTTGTGTGGTCACAGCCTATCATATTGTCCATTCCTTGGCCTGGCCCATGAAAACGCCTGAGGACGGCATTCGATTCCGCCCTGCCCCAGCACCCGACACGGATACACCGGTGCACATCAAACCCATTGCCACGGTTCCAGCGACCGTAGTTCAACACCACACAGACAGCACGTTTACGTCCTCTGCCTCGCAGCAAGCACAGCAAGGACCTCGTCTTCTTGCTCCTCTAAACTGCGTTCGGTTGAACCCTTGGACGCCCTCGAGCCCTTCCCATGACCCTTCGGTGCTCTCTGTTCTGGCATCTCTTCCCCATCGGACGAATCGCTTCCTACGCCCTCGTCGTCGCCGTCTTCACTAGATTCTGACCCCTCGCCATCATCTTCGCTAGCATCAAAGCCCCCTGTGCTTTCGCTGTCGCTGTCAGCATCGCCGTCAGAGAACGAGCCACTGCCGAGGGTCGGGGCTTCCGCCAAACCTTCCTCTTCCGTGTCCTTATCCTTCAGCCGGCGCTTGAGGTGCTTCTCTCGGACGCGCTCTCGGTCGCGCTCCTTGTCTTCCCCTGTGAGGTGCGAATGATGCATGCCATGTCGCGAGCAACGAGGCCAAGTGCAACGCGAGGATAGGCGCACAGGACACGCAGTGGGAATTTGCTGAGCACAGAAAGGCGGAGGCTTCGGGCTTCAGGGTGTTGACCATTGCGGCCAAGAACGAAACGGTCTATGGACATCGGCGGTGCGTGCAGACTCGTAACGAGGCTTTTGACCCTAAACAGCTTCACAGGCCATATCGCCGCGTACTTACCGTCGACAGCTTCCAGTCTCGCCTTGATCCGCTTCACGTATGCTTCGCTGGCTGCGGGCAAACTAGCGGCATCACTGGCGCTGGATGCACTAACTGTGGGGACACCAGTCTCCTTCGCGAAAGCCTGTAGCGGCGAGATCACATCCTATGAAACATAAGTTTACAAGCGGCCAAACCACGGGAATAGGGCGCGACGAGGGAGCGAGGGCCGGTCAGTGAGTCACCGCGACAAGACACGTGCAATCTGAACCAGTCCACCAACTTCTGCGAAAGACACCTACTGTTAGCTCCATTCATTTTCTCGTGCATACGCAACGGCGTCTTTTGCAGTCAGTCAAAGCAAGGACCAGCCGCCAAAAGCCGCCCAGCTATCTATAACCATCATATTCTCGGCGGAGACCCCTGCAGCCAACCGAGTCCCAAGTGTCTTCAGCAGAAACTCATCCAAACAAGACACAGGTACCTCCAGCGACTCCCGATTCAATACAAACACCCAAGAACAGACAGAGAGACGAGAACGGCCCCACGAACACGTACCACGGCAGCACCGTCCTCGTCGAAGACCTTCTTCGTTGCAACACCTGCCGCAGCAACACCGTCGCTTGTGATCCTCATCTTCTTTCTTTTCCGCGGGAGCTCCTCGGCACCACCATCCTCCTCCGGCCTCGCCCCACTCCCGACGCCTTCCGAGCGCTCCTTTTGCACGAGGACAAGACCGCCGTCTGCCTCTGAGCTATCCGAGTCTTCGCGATCGCTGCTGCTGCCGTCACTGGTGGCTGTTCCTGTGACCGCCCGGGCTTTCCTTTTTCGAGGTTCCAACCTGGCCTTCGATGCCTCCTCGAGCTTGCCTTCGCGCTGTACGAATATGTAGGGGAGGATGGAGGAGGGAGGAGCTAAGACGACTATTCTCGTGTACGTCCGGCCGCCATCGGCACCAAGCGGTATGAACACAGATGGTCCGGCGGTATACGCCTCCACGTTCGACGAAGCCACTACAAGATGAAAAGCATACTTGATAAAATGGCATCTGCTAATACGCGTGCGCATGCGCATGCAGCACGGATATACTCGCATTGTCACAGTGCCGTAAGGCGGGAGGTACTGCTGTGGAAAATCGGGCATGGTGAGGATGATGGTTGCGCATGACGTGTGGAAAATGTTTCTTCGGCGTTTGATGTGGGAACGCCCGAATTCGACCATGCATGAAGGTGCCACTTGGGCCAACTCAACCCATTCGCTTGCGGTCGTTCACCGACACAGCCGAGATCATTTTGTCTAGCATATACCCGTTTGGAGAACGCCAAGGTGGGGGAGAAAACCACAACTCGGAAACGTTCCACAAGCTACAAGGTGAGCGACAAAATGAAAGAACAGCGTCGACTCACCACGCCGAAAAAAACTACTCAACCGGCACAGCCGAAATGGCAGAGCCTACCTGTTTGGAGAAAGCCAAGACTATTGTGGAACGGAGAAGCAACCACAAGCCGGAGCGATTGTGCCTCTCGCTGGCGCACAGGGACGATTGTTGTTGATCGATTGGTGCTAACAAGGAGTGCGCATGGCGCAAGAAAACGCAGCGAGAGTAGTCCCACCAGCGGGAGCGCCGAGGCACAAAAAAGACCGGCCGCATGCTGTGAAAGGGCCAAAGCGGACAGTCGAATATGCTCCAAACTCAAGCGATACGGGCCAACGCGAAGATAAACATCTCAGGAGAAAGGAGCGGCACGGCATTGGCGTTCGAATGTCTTCTAAATCCAAGATAAGGTAATGTTAGCCCGTGAGAGGTCGAGAGGAGTCACTTTGCTGCGAGGAGTAAGCTTTAAGCTTGAGCACTCCGGCGGTCTGTCAACAACGCACACGACGAAAGTCAATCAAACAAGTTGTGAACACCTAGAAAACCCCGTCACCTCCAGACGTTTTCGAAGCTTGTCCGCCTTGATTTGTTCCTTCAGACGCTGCAGCGATCGATTCACGTTCTTCTTTGCTCGGGCCTCCTCCCGCTGTTTCTCGTTCTCCGCCCCTCCTCCCGCATCTCCCGGGCCACCTTCCTTGTGCTCGCCGCCCTTGCCCGAAGACCCGTTTACAAGCGCTTTCTCTAGACCCGGAACTCGTGGTGCGGCCGCCAGGCCAAGCGAAAACGCGTACTCCTCCAAGGGGAGTTCCGACAGACGGAAGGCCTGGTGGTCGAGGAACACGAGAAACATCATCGGGGTGAGAACAGGCGCCTCCATTCTATGTCTGCAGGTGGGTGCGAAGGACAATCATGGACCACAAACGCTGCGCGCACCACACACTCCACGACAGTCGTACTCAAGATGGCCGGTCAGCAGCGTTAAGGTCGAACATACTGATTGCACCACCGCACCTGCTTGTTAGGCATGAGCTGCACGGCCCTGACGTAAGACGTGAAGGACTTCTGCGCGAGTCGCTTCTTGTCTGGATCAGACGCCACAAGCGCCGACGCTTTCTTGCCGACTGAACCCGCCATGCGCACCTGCATTCATACGTGGGAGCCCAGGCACCCGATCCAGCAACAAATCCGAGAAACGACTACGCCGGCTTCACAAAAAAAACGGTATGTAGCATTGCTTGGGCTATGATATGGCCGACGTCAAGCTCCGGGAGAATCAATAGAACTGCCAAGTCGCCGCCTTCCACCCCGACAAAACTTGGCATCCATTCGCTCCAGGGGAAAACGGCCCTTTGCTGCGGTGTTGCAGCAGACTTGTCTGGTTCCCGCCAGGGGTTCATGTACAACACGGAATCCACACGAAAGCAAGCAAGCACGAGAGACACATAGAGCAGTCACCGACCTTCTCGGGATTGATGGTGAGCTTCTTGATGGGAATGTTCTTGGGTTTGAGCCCGGCCAGCACCCCTTCCTCCTCAGACGGCAGCATCATCAACAGAGCGCGACCGCCACTCTAAAAGCATCGACCAGAGCCAACAAGGGTATGCACGCGACGTAGAGACAACAGAAGGCAGAATGGTGAGAACCGTCAAGAGTTTCTCGAGCGTCAAAGAAAATGCCTCAGGACGGTGTTCCCACCCGAACAGCCCGGCCAATGGCACGCTCGTGCCGACGAGCTGGGGAGTAAGGCTGACTTGCACCGCGCATCCAAAAAAACATTTTCGGTGCCGGTCGGTGGCATATATCACTGTCGAGAGCCTTTGGGTAGCCGTTCCAAGATGAACTCACGTTGTAACGTGCAGTCCGCCCTACACGGTGGATGTACCCCTCCGCATCCTCCGGAGCGTCGACCTAAAGAACAGCACGGAGAAAGCACACCGAGCAGTAGTGCCGGTTCCAGGGGACGGCCGATAGGGTTTACGAAGACCACCAAGAAGAACGTCACCCCTTTCCCTCCAACACAGGTCAGGGTTACCTCCATTTTCATCTTTCATTTCAACGGTCTGGATGGCCACAGCGCTGTACACACCTGCACACGTTTAAGCCTTTATCCATGAACACCTCGTTCCCCAACTGCGAAGAACTAGGGGCCAAGCTGTGCGAATCGGGGAAAATAGCACACCTCATGACGCAACTCCGTTCACCTGAATGACCCAATCCACAGACGGGAAGTCGAGCCCTCTCGCAGCGATATCAGTCGCCAGCAAAACCGCCCCTGGTCTCCGCACGAAGTCGAGGTAGATCTGCGTCCGCCGCGCGTGCTTGCACTTCCCGTGAAGGGCCATAACTGGCATCCCTGGCTGCAAGGCGCACAGGAGCTCGAATGCAAATCGAACCTGTCCGCGCGAGAGAGAAAGAGAGAGAAAGGAGAGGCGAGGGCAGCTATTTCGGTTACCGGCGCACGGTGGTGTATGTCGCGCAACAAGCACGCGGCAAACACGCGTGGGCACGCGGTACTCCAGCACCCGTACAGTATCCCACTGATACGCGACTGAGCAGGTCACCACGTCAAAACCCATCCGATTACAGCAACGCACACAAATAGAACAGGGCCAATTGGACGGCTTGGCTAACAGGTGCGCTGGCTTGGATTGGAGTGAGTGACCTCCGTCCATAGCCACGGGAAACTCCAAAATCAAAGCCTACAAACCTGAGCGCAGGAGGTGAAGAACACGATCATTTTGCTCTTGAGGTGGGTCTTGAAGAAGCCCAGCAGAACGTCAAGCTTCTTGTCTAATCGGCACACGACGTAGTTTTGGACAAGCTTGGCCGGCGTCGCGCACTCGTCCTTACCAGCACGGACGGCCACGTACTCTACGTTGCCCTGTGTGTATGGGAAGGCGTCGAGCATTGCGAGAACGAGCAGCTGGTGACATGATCTTTCTATGAACAAAACCGAAAGCTAGTATTGGGGCGTATTTAGCGTAGCAAGAGGTCAGCACGTGAGCAATGGTGTCCGTCCGTCTCACGGGATTCCTTTCCTATACCTGGGACGCTCGTGTATCCATCTGGGTGCGGCGGACACTAGGGAAGCAATTTTTTAACGTCAACTGCTAGGAACGAAATGCAAATATGGGTTGTGCACACTTCAACAAGCCCAGCACATGTATACGAGGAGGCAGGCCATCGATGCTGAAACGCAAATAGGCTGACTCACTGATCCCACAGCAAAACACGCGTCAAGGCACCAAGTACATTGGCTACGATTCCGAGGTGCGTGTTTCATCACTTCAGACAACTCTCTGTACGTCACCTTTCTGAGGGACAACCTAGCCAGGTCCTTGATGGACTTCGTCTGCGTGGCGCTGAAGAGCATCGTTTGTCGAGAGGGCGGCAGGTACTCTAGAATGCTGTTCAGCTGGTCTCGGAAGCCCATGTCCAATATCCTGTCAGCCTCGTCTAATACCAACACCTGACATTCAAAAACGTCCCAAGTGTATTGTGTATTGTCACACAACAGCGGAGATGAAATGACCCTTTGAGGTACCGATTTTCAGCCTTGGAACACCAGCACTGCCACCCCAATGCACCAACCGAAACCGATAATAAGGATGAAACGAAAAGAACTGCCTGCTGGGTTTCCATCCAGCACGTTGATATTTTCGTTGCGTGTATCCGCACGGACGCATGGGGCTGACTGAGCCTGGCGTCTCAGCATCACCTGCTGCTGTAACCACCCCAAAGGATGTACGTGCCGTACGTGGCAGCGGATATCACACATACACACAGGACTTACCTACACATTACTTTTGTCGTCGCTTACCTGCAACAAGGAGGGGTCGAAGCCTGGTGTCTGCTCCAGGTGCTGGAGCAAACGCCCCGGGGTTGCCACGAGGATATTCATCTTGATAACAGACGCCTGCTCCTCGCGGAACTCCTTCTTGCCTCCGGTGATCAACCCTGCCGACAGCTGATGGTGCTTCCCAAACTCGCGCAGCACCTCGAAGATTTGGAGGGACAGTTCCCTCGTAGGGGAAATCACCAAGGCTGCTAGGCCATCCCTGCACCGGCATCGACGGAGCGAGCATCAGAGGCAAAGAGGAAGGCAGTGCAAGAGCGAAACGATCAAGCACGAAGTATGAGCTCGCCAACGGCGCACGGCAACATGATCGTTTCCTATGAAGCGGAGCTGGCCCAAGGCAAAAACCCGCGTCCATGCAAGCCATCCTCATGGCCTCAAAGACCTACGATCGTGTCGGACCCAACACTGCTGTATACCTCCCCTTTCAGCACTTGGGACAGAAGTTGGCCGCGTGGTACGAGAGCAGAATCAACGGCAGTATTGAGTTTTAGGGACAGAAGGAGTCCAAGTGGGCAGACTTGAGCTAGCCGCTGCTGCATGACAGAGATAAACAAACCGACTGCATCTTTGTTCCACCAACGTCTCACCCATACGTGATGCGGCTGCGATAAAGCTTTTCCACGAGCGGAACCAGAAACGCCAGCGTCTTGCCGGACCCGGTCTTCGCTGCCCCCAGCACATCCCGTCCGGCCAGAGCATGCGGAATGGCTGCTACCTGAAATGGACCACATCAACGCAGGGCAGCAGCGGTTTTCACGCCGGCACAGCAGTTACACACACACAACGGCCACAACACACGATCACAGGAAACCACCGCTGAAGTTTGCGTATAAAAGGTTGCTGCTGTTGTACAAGCTACCACACGCCAAGCCGTTGCTCAGGCAAGCGTGCCACAGGCCCCAACTTCAGTCTCCTCCAGTTCATTGGTGGCTGGAGTGTACATTGCACAATGACGTCTGCTGTGTACCTGTATTTCAGTCATGGTTTTGAACCCTCCGCCAGTCAGACCTCGTATCGTTCGCTGCGAGAGGGGCAAGGCAGTGAACGGCTGCCGATCGCCAGTGGACTCCGTAAAAGGTTGCGTTCCACGAGCAGGTGCGGTGGCGACGACCTGGGCCTCCAACTCGGCCACCTCCTGTGCCTCATCAACTTGCTCGATCACTGGCTCCGCGCGCTTTCGCTTGTTCTTCATCGTGACGTAGAAGCGTTCACCAGCGAACGACACACAAAGACACACGCAAATTGAGGCCGGAGGGCCCTTGTGGTGAAAGTAAGCGCAATGGTGGCAGCTGGACGCCGGTTATGGAGCTGAGCTGTCTCTCTTGCCATGATGCGGGGTCATCGCGATAAGGAATGAATGGCATACGCTCATGCGCAATCTATCAGTTTCGTTCGTTGAGCCCCCCCGGCCAACTACTTCAGGTTGTCTGGTTGTTTCGTTCGTTCGTGCTGCGCGTACGTTCGTGCACACAGCAGTGTGATCTCTCTCCCTACCTCGGACAAGTCTACGCGACGCCGGTAAGGACACGATAGCAAGAGGATGTGGAAGGTGTTGGCCATTGGTGCATCTACTCTAGCCTCGAGTGTTAGTGAGGTGCTGCACGCCGCCCTCCGACGTTTGAGCGCATGTTGAACGTTCAACATGGCTCTTGCATGTTACACTACTGTGTTGTCGCCGTAACCTGCTACTGCTGTGCACGCATGCTCGCTGGTCCGTTGACAAGATTTTTCTGCAGCTGCTGAAAGTGCATCACCTCCCCACGCGCTGCCCGTCTTTCACTGCTGATTTATCGACCCAGTCAAGGCTTGCCGGAGAGGTCACACCCCTCTTTCTTCATCACTCTATCCACGATGGCCTCTTTCCTGAACCAAATGGTTGTAAGGCACAGGGCGGGTGTGCGGATCTTACCAGCCTTTGGGAACACCAGCAGGTGAGCACGGTGGCTTCACCCAATCTTGACTCTTCTCCTGATGCCATGGGCCACCAAGCCCTTTTGCTTGTTTCGCTCAGCGACATCAATCGAACACCGCCTTGTAGTTCTGCGGTACTGCATGGCGTGCCGGGGCACGCTTCTCCCATCGTGTGCCTCCCCAGCCGGCACACGGGAATGGGGCAAGAGCCTACCCCTCTATGTCCGTGTATCGCAGCCATGCTTTCACACTTGACCCACTTACCCACATCACACAATGAGGTTCCGTCTAATACATCGCCTTATATTTTGGATTCTGTAAAATGGCAGGAGACTGCTTTCCTCGCACTACCAAGAGGCTCGCAACGTGAAGATGATGGGAGAGAGAAGGAGCATGAACGGTATCGACGCAACTGTCCGAAATGTGAGACAGCAGAACCTCGTCCTCCTGGCTGGCGTAACACGCCGCCTTGCGTTTGCCGGCGGTCGCCCGGAACACCGGTAGATTACATAGGATCCTTGACCTGATGCAAAGGCCGTAGGCAGAGTTTTTCGCCAGGAGCCGGCGACTACATCTCATAAAATATTTTCTCGCGCAGCAAGTGTTCTTACAGTATTCCAACCTACTAGACTATATCTTGAGGATGGAAGGAGAGCAAGCCACACACCCAGCTGTTGACACGCGTCGTGTGAAGATGCCAGGCAGTCAAGCATCACATTGAGCTAACTCGAGAAGAGATTCAGTCAACACTGTTCTGTCACCGTCCTGGTATGTAGTGATGATGATGGGCTGCAAGAAGACCCTAGTGAACATGGCGTTCTTTGTCGTCATTTCCAACAGGACTGGACGAAGGAAGAGATCAGGGAGGTGTACGAAATGCCCATGCTGGAGCTCTTGTACCGGGCTTCTTCGGTCCACCGCATGTTCTTTGACCCTACCGAGGTCCAGCAGTGTACGCTCTTATCCATCAAGACCGGCGGCTGCACGGAAGACTGCGGGTACTGCTCTCAGTCCGTGCGACATAAGACTTTCGTCAAGCCTACCCCCCAGATGAAGGTGAACACCCGCTGGTGGAGCGAACGCCACGAGCTGCGGGTTGCGGTTCATGTTTTGCTTACAGCATCGTATTCCTTTGTTCCAACAATAGAAGGAGCATGACCTTGACTTTCATCGACGATTCGTGTCTTTCCTGCTTTTTGGAGGCTGGAGTCCGATGACGAAGACAGTGAGACGATGAATCCGTCTCCCCTGTGATTATTTTCCAGCATTGCACACACCACACCCCCTGTTATTTTGTTTCGACGAACATATATCAGATTGACGAGGTCATGGCGGCAGCAAAGAGGGCAAAGGAGGCGGGCAGCACTAGGTTCTGCATGGGGGCGGCATGGCGCGAGCTTGGCAACAAGAAGAAGGCCTTCAACAACATCCTCGATATGGTACGCCAACGGAACTTCGGCGTTTATGTTGGTCGGTTTTCTTCACGTTGCCAACCTGAACCCTGACAAGTACGCCCTCTTCCCTACCGTATTCCACGTAAAAAACGTTTAGTTTATTTTCACCGGGGACATAGGTAGTTCTGTGGGGTAAAATCGGTGACCTTAGCATGTAGTTTGGGAACATGTGTATTTTTGGGATCATTGTTGAACGACATCAATATCACCACCCGGGGAATGGTTTTCTATGGAGGTGTGGAATCTTGTTTGGAAAGTAATCGTGACCTCACAGCGTTCGAGACATACCCTCAGTCGAAAGGGATGTGGTGAAGTCTTTTCAGTTAGTGGATTGAAACCGACTGGAGACTGGACTTATTTTGAGTTTGTGTAGGCTTACACTGAGTTATCAGTGACGCCAGTTGGTGCTAAGAACAAAAGCATCTGTATAGGCGGATACATTTAACACATCCCCTGTACTTTTCTACTTGGTCGACGACAGAACTATCGGGGCGAAGCTCTCCGTTGTGTCATGTGTTGTAGAATGTGGCCTTCACAGGGAACATGGCGCAGTGCCGTTTGACAACTTGCTGTTTTAAGGAAGTACCGCGCACTGCTGTTTTAGACGATGTGAATCTAGACCACAGCAGTATGTACAGCAGTAGGACTGTTGTACACCTATCACATTTTTTTTTATATATTTTGAGTTTGGAAAGTTGGCGTTGTACTGTAGATTTCAGTAGTAGCTGCTTTCCGCTCTTTTTTTAAATCTAAAACAATGTTATGTTGTTCATCGTGTGTGATGAGTATAGGTGAAAAGGAGGCGTTATCTCGTGTAGAATACGGTGCTCGCCAAAACCCAAGACTTCGTGGTCACAAGCTAACCCAGAGTAGAAAGGCCAATCCGCACGTCGCCATCACTTGCGAAGAACAGATTACCGTTCGATCTACAAGTCCTCAAGAACAAGGGGGTAAGTATTTGATCCAAAATGTGAACGAAAGCAGAGCTCAACGCTTCGCTCGGAAGCTGAGTCATAACACACGTACTTCTAGGGAGTACACCTCATGAAAATAGGCAAACCATGCTTGTCCAAGAACTTTTTGTTTGATTGCTCCAGTGTCTCCAAGCCGTACGTCTTGACAATTGATAATGACATGTTCATTTAGACCACGACCTGAAGCACTGGTTTGGTTAGCAACGCGTGTGCTGTGTACGTGCGAACGAAGCTCAACGATTGAGTCGATATACCCACCATCTATCGTCCTTGCTTCAGGTTCGTGAGGTGAACGGCATGGGTATGGAGGTATGCTGCACGTTGGGAATGCTCAACAGCGAGCAAGCGAAGCAGCTCAAAGAGGCCGGACTAACGGCCTACAACCACAACCTGGACACGTCACGGGAGTTCTATCCCTCGGTCATCACCACAAGGTGGGTGTAATTTGGGTATGTACAAGGCCTCCCTCCGGAGTGGGGTAAAGAGAGCACCGCGGTAAGGGGTGATAGAAGAACACGCGAAAGCAAACAGAGGAAAGACAGATGTTGTGTGGATATATATATCGATATTCTACTTCGTAAAGGGGTTTGCCCAATTTTTGGGAGCTCGGCGCGAGCTTTTCCTTCGATACAAGGATCATTCTGTAGGGATTTGTCTGGAAGAACAACCCGCGAGCAGTTTGGTTGTTCCACCCACATGCAGATCTCTTGAGGGCATCCGTCCCTCGCTCCTAGAGCTCACCCATCTCGGCGCCTCTACACCTTTGACTCGCTACAACCAGAGAGCTACTTACCACACCAGTGTCCGGATGATTTTACGTAAAACCGGCCAGCCGTGGTGCCATCAATATGGCTGTGGCCTCATGCTTAGGTTGATGGAAAAAAGCGTTGTCTATAGCCTTTCTGAAATTTTCTTGGTTGAAATGCCGCATGCCGCAGGCATGTACATGCATGTGAAGTATGCATGTGTATGCACATGCCGCAATGCCAACGTCGGTCCGAACCTGAGGGTCGGCGGTCTGCATGGTCTGCATTGATTGCTCTACACCATTGCTGACACCGCCACGACATGGCTCGACTACTGGAACCTACATGTTTCTGCTTACGGTTGCAGCAGTACGTTCTCTGTCAAGGTGGTAAGTATTTCTGGCTCCTTACAGTTTGTGGTCGATCTCCATGCACACCCGCAGGTACCCTGTACGAGGTGCGGTAAAAGCACAAACCCTTGAAGCGTATTGGCAATCCGGATCTCACTCGCGTAATTTTCTGTAGGTGTGCAGGAAAATGGTAGAATTGTCCTGGATCCAATGTTTGCGGCTGGGTGTCGTCGTGCGTGGGCAGGTCTTACGAGGACCGACTGGAGACCATCAGCAACGTTCGGGAGGCGGGAATTTCGGTTTGCTGCGGTGGCATCCTGGGTCTGGGGGAGGTACGAGAGTGACACGAAATCCAAGGAATCATGGGGGTAGTGAAGGCGTAGGACCACGCGTGTCTTGGTGCTGAGATTGGCGAAAACCAACAAGCGAGAGGCTTTTGCTTTGTATGAATGCCTTGCCTTCTTTAGTCACGATGATAGGACTTTCCTGTGTGACACCTGATCGCGCCGTACACAACGTGCGATTAAATCGGCTGAGGGGGGTCGACCTGGGTCACTAGTTTGGTGGTATTCTGAAGCACGCACGTGGGTTGATTCTGGTGCAGAAACAAACGCACCGTCCTCCCCCTGTATACCAATGAACTTTGTTTCGCTGTTCATGTTCATCGTGCAGGAGGAGAATGACCGCGTGGGCCTGCTGCACACCCTCGCAACCCTCGAGGAACACCCGGAATCTGTTCCGATAAACGCTCTCGTGGCCGTCGAGGGAACTCCCCTCGCCGACGAAGGCAAGGCCGACACACCCGACATCTGGGACATGGGACGCATGATCGCGACGGCGAGGGTGGTGATGCCGAGGACAATGGTGCGTCTGTCGGCGGGGAGGCTGAGCTTCAGCGAGGCGGAGCAGGTGAGCGGGGGTAGGGACGGGCTGGGTGATGTTTCTGTTCACGAGCCTGTGCCCTTTTTGGAGTTGCGCCATGCGTATGGGTGCCCCATGTACGACATGAGGGGAGTGAGAAGACAGAGCGAAAGTATGAGAGATAGAGCTTAGCTTAGCGGTCAACAAGGGAAGAATTCCTGCGTAGGGACAAGGATGCTGAGGTAAGCGGGTGGGCTTGTTCAAAGGAGATCTGGTCGGTCATTTCGCTGCACAATATTACGCAGTCGGCTTCTTCGCTTATTTCTCAAGCTAGATTGAGAGATCTGTTGCAAAGCTTGTGGTGTGTTCTGTTGGGATGTGACCTTTGTGATAGGTGTATCCCTGGCAATCTCGTCTGCTCATGCACGGACTTCAGCAGTCTAGCTATCGCAAATATGCACCAAGATGCAGTAAGTATTGCATATCATGAAGGTGCAAGTTGGTTCGTATCTCTCGTGGACTTAAGTTGCTAACCTCTTGGGTTTTCACCTGATAAAAACAGCAAAATCTTGCTGTTTTTCGAATTGTTTCGAATTGATTAGCATACACAGCAGTAGACGCTGTATCATTTGTAAATTGGATCCTTTGTGTTAAATCTTTTTGGTTGAGAACGTTTCTTCGAATTCAATCGGTACCATGTCGTTTCTTTGTATGACTTCCATTGCGGAGGAGTGTTGATATACTCAATGTCAGTTATTTGTATTGTACCGCTATAAACGACAGTACGTAGGTACCGCAGTTGTGCGTGTTATGGCACCCATCGTTGAGTTCGCACCCATCGGTGTTATGGCAGCGGGGTGCACAATAACATCGAGAACGGGATGGTTTAATTGCATTTCCGCACCGGTATCGGTTTTAACGCACCCGGTGCGATATCAACATTATATAACCTGCTTACAATAGGCGGTTTCTTATACACCTGGATTCCTTTCCCAAAAAGCTTCACTTTTCCGGATGGGCGGAAATCTGGCTTCTTATTCAGCCAGATTCTTCAGTTTTCCGGGTCGACAAAATCCGGGTTCAGCTTTTTGGGTGGCCTCCACCCGAAATTTTTGGAAGAAATCAGGATGGTGCCCACCCAGATGTCTCATCCCAAAAGTTCACCGCTGGTGAACCCAGACGACATTATCGGCGAGTGCGACCTGAGTTCTTGATGTAGCGCTCCCATCAAGGGCTCCCAGCAACCCTGCGCCGAAGGGCTTGCTATTCTGCACGCCGGCTGTTGATGGTCGCTCGGCACGCGCGCGTATCAAAAACAGAGGGCACGCCCTGACCGGTTTGGCTTCGATCGGTGGCCTATGGAGCTAGAAATCAGTTGCGGTGTCCTCCCCTCTCTGACAATAAGCGGCTCTTGTTGCTGTCTCGTGGCGGTTTGGCCTGTTTCGACGTCTCCCGTGCTTGGTGCGATGCGATATGTTTTTGTTACGCGCGCGTGCCGAGCGACCATCAACAGCCAGCGTGCAGAATAGCAAGCCCTTTGGCGTAGGGTTGCTGGGAGCCCTTGATGGGAGCGCTACGTCAAGAACTCAGGTCGCACTCGCCGATTATGTCGTCTGGGTTGATCTACACCCACGCCCCAAGAATCTGCCTCAGGAATCCGGCTCGTTGTAAGAACGGCCGGACTTTTTTCCAGCCGGATTTTTGCCCATCCTGAAAAGTAGTTTTTATTGGGAAAGGGATCTAGGTGTGCAAGAATCATCCTTAGGAGGAAAGTTTGCGTTTTTCCGCAAGTTGCCGAAACCTTCCGGGCCACGGGTCGAATTGTATGTAACGAACGGCTGGAAGGTCCGGTAGGTACCAATTGGGGCGCCATTCCTATCATTTATGTACATCGTACCGTCGAGGTGTGCGAGTATAAAGTATGAAGTTTTTTCTACGGCAATCCGTACATCGAATGCACTCACTCACTCAACCAAGTACACAGCACAAAACATGCACCTCCAGCCAACCGAACAAGAAGAAGAAGGAGGTCGTGAACGGTACTACAATCGTCTCGGTACCATGCCCCTTGAACCAGACAAAAAGAGAGGGAATCACCAGCCAACAAATGAGGGGCTTGCGACCAACATCGAGGTTGGAAGAAAATCGACACCGTACTGTATACTTTTCCAAGCAGGGAACCACAGCGTCTTTTGTCTTTGGCACACGCTAGCCCAAACTACGCTACCCCAAACTCGCATTCAGCCGCTTCATTTTTATGTATCGTATCACGCACAATTGCTGTATTTTTACCAGGAAACGCCTGTATTCGTTTTTTAGTATAACACCTATCGCAACCATCGGTGTCATCGCACCGGGAGTGCGTTGGAAATCTAGAACGAAATGATTTAATTGCACTTCTGCACCGGTATCGGTGTTATGGCACCCATCGGTGTTATGGCACCGGGGTGCGATAAACAACCGAGATAGGAATGACTAAAAGAACGATGGCTCCCCGGTGCCATATTACGCACAGTTACGGTATTCACCTACAGTAAGGAGTATTACCGGAATAGTCTTCGGTACGTTGATTCAGTAATGGGATCATTGTACACACCTACGGGTTATACATTGAACCTATAGAAGTATGGTACATCGGACCATTGTCCTATAGGATATTCTAGTAACGTTGCCATAGGTCCGATTAACCGCCTTCTACCGTGATCGGTACGTTGCAAAAGCCCGTGTGTGTTTCCTTTCCGTGATGACGATGGATGGCTCGCCCCCTTGGTTATCGCCCCCATTCGCTCACTTCTTCTCCCTTCTTTCTTCTTACCTTTCGGCCCACTAAGCGCCAATTCAAACCATCTTTTCTGGTGTACAACACAAGCGTACTTGACAGTCACTCTGTGAGCCTCTGCACATTGTTACTACGCAGTGGCCATTGCCAGGGATACAGCTATCACAATGGTTAAATCCTAACATGTTCTTGGACCATTTTTTTGTATGCTGTACGCATGGATGGGATTACGCCTCTGACCCGCGTGATTCCACGCATTGATCCGTCACCTACCTACGTATGCCCCCTTTTCACCTTTTTGGGCAGGCGATGATGTTCATGGCCGGAGCGAACTCTATTTTCACGGGGGACCGACTCCTCACTACCTCGAACCCGGAGTTTGATGCCGATAAGGTAACGCGTGGTCGAGCACACGTCTAGTCTATTCTTGTGCAAAGCACAATTTGTTCTGAGTGACTCCTGTAGTTCGTGTGTTTCCTTGTTCCCGGGTTTGTGTGAAAACACACCTGTTGTTGTGCGTCGATTAGGGTGCACCGTGCTCCGTGGTGACCACGTGGCTGTTGCCTCTGTCCTATCAAAGTCTTGTGTGCAGCGGTACGCACAGGATACAGACAGCCGTTATCGGGTTAACATTCGAATCCCCCCCACTCGTCATTACTCAACACCGACAGATTGCTCTCCATCTTCCTCCCCTGGATCTGACCTCTCCCATTCCTCCTCATGCTTGGCTACGAATACTGCACCAGGCCCTCTTCGCTAAGCTTGGACTGAACGGGAAGCCGGCTCACTCCGCCCCGCTTCAGCCTCCCGTGGAAACGTCTGAGCGAGTAGTTGTGACGCACCGTGAGGTGTTGGCAGCCGGAGGTAGCGTAATCGACATCGAGGAGACGCACGCTCTACCGCAGGCAGCATGAGTAGGACGTGCTCTCGGCTTGAATGTTTTGGCGAGAAGGGTAGATAGAGCTCTCGTCGGTGTGAAGCGCTTGTATTTGGAGGGGAGAGTCCCGTATATCGTGTGAATGGATGGAGTGTTGGGTGGGATGAGTGGATGGCTGAGAGTAGGTGCACAAGGCGAAGATTTTGCAGATTTGTCCGCTGCTTTTCGGGGGCAAGTTGGAGGAACCGCACAAGGGTAAATGTTGTGGGAGGGGGTAAATGTTGTCGCATACCTGTCGCAATATCCGATGGATGTTCGAGTTGCGCACCGTGAGCGAGTGATGGACACGCTTGCTTACCGACGCGGTCTATGGACAGACAGGACGTACAGGGCTAGGGCCCAATGGAAATGGAAATATAATAGGTTAGGATATTGAATTTTGGAGCGAAATCAATGGATTGATGTCTTGCGGTGCGGGCCCGTAGTTGGGAAATATCACCAATATTTCGTTCAGAAGCTAAGGCAAGGTCAAGTTTTCACAAAATTGGGGAAAATGGGTTGAGACACGAAGCTATATTCAAGGAGATTTGAAATTTGAGCCTCGACCCGATTTTGACCACGGTTCTTCTATCTACGTACGGGCGAATCTGTATTGCCAATGGGACCTGCCTTTATTTTTGGTTTCTATTCCTAACTAAGACGACATGCACTCATTAGTGCTGTTTCAGGTCTTAATGGGCTGCCATTTCGACGTTTTACTGGTGCTGTACCATGCACTGCTACAGCCGTTATAATGCATGAAGCCTACGGACGGTGTGTATGATAGTTGAACTGTTTCCCAGATCTCGGTCCACACGTTACATTTTCATATGTTAAATCTCCAGCAAGAGCACACAATGGTCGCAAAAAAACTGTCTATGACATCTGCTGGCTGTGTGCCTCTCGTGTGTTTGGACGTTTGTCTGTGTGTGGTGCACATGACATGCGCGGAGCACTACTGCTGTACATAATCGACTTCATAAGTCGCGAGGGAAGGGATTGCTGTACCCTTGTCGCGATAAAAATATCTCAGGCAGGAACCACAGGAGGGGGTCCAACCCCCCCCTCCTATGTGACCCCGGTTGGGTCGTCTAGCTGGCAGAAGTGGAGGATAGGGGCCAGAGGGGCAGACGACAGGGTCCAATGATAGGAGCAAAAAAAAAAAATGTACATGCATGATTATTTTTCTCCCATCATTGGATTTTGTCGTCTGCCCCTCTGGCTATCCTCCACTTTTATCAGCTAGACGACCCAACCGGGGTCACATAGGAGGGGGGGGTTGGACCCCCTCCTGCGGTTCCTACCTGAGATATTTTTATCGCGACAAGGGTACAGCAAACCCTTCCCTCGCGACCTATGAAGTCGATCAAGTTTACTAACAACGCGCGTTTCAGCGCATCGCTTCCAACGGAGAATGTTTTTTTTTTTCTCCCATCATTGACTCTGTCGTCTGACCCTCTGGTCCCTATCCTCCACTTCTACTAGCTAGACGACCCAACCGGGGTCACATAGGAGGGGGGGTTGGACCCCCTCCTGCGGTTCCTGTTTGAGGTATTTTTATCGCGAGAAGAGTACAGCAACTCCTTCCCTCCACTACTGTCCAGACTCAGAAGTCGATCAAGAATGTCATGTGGTGGAGGCCGGGCGGACCGCGTACTCCCCTCGAGAAACACAATAATTATAGGTTGCGTCCCCCCCAGAGTTCATGCTGCAGACATACATACATACATGTGCAGTGCAACTCCGCCCGCGTCCACCTTCAGGACAGTCTTCAGTGGATAGCACACAGTGTTTCTCGTGTGGCGACTGTCGGCGGTGCCTCCATCTGCGCACTAGTCCTGCGGGTAGCATGGGCAAGAAGAATGTCCCCCTGTTGCTGGTCATGACTCTGTCATTCAGCGAATCTGGGCTTTCGTTTCTCCGGTAAGCTTAAAGCTGTGGGGCATCACCATGCGCACGCACGCCCCCCGCCCCTTGATATTTGCTTGGAGTATGCGAAAGCCGACTGCCTGTACACGTGGGCTTCTCTTCATATTTATGCCTGCAACACAGAAACGCAGACAGTCACCTTTCACCCGCCGTGTTGTAGGCTGGTACTGCCGTAGACGACCCTGCGGAGCCACGATGTCATGATCAGTTTGCTACATAGATCTATAAACACGGCATGGCGACTTGAGGTTGGAGGGCTCAACAAAGAGACTGCTCACATCAAACACGAAGATAAACTCCTTCGCCGCACACCAAGTTCGCCCACGGTTCGCCTAGCTCCTATTGAATGTGTGAATATGAACCTACGGCAATGCAATGTGCGGGCGTGTGCTGTGACGGGACCGTTGTTGGCCCGCATCTTCAACTTGCTTGTTGCTCCGTTTCTCCTGCCGTTTTCCCCTTCGTTCCATTCTCCAGCCCCCACATCTCCTCGCTTCCACACCTGAGCCAAGGCCCCTCGGCGAAGACTTCTGTTACGAGACGGCAAGCGGCTGCCACTATACCAGGTGGCGTGCCGAGCGGAAAGCTGGAGAGAGGAACTCCAGCGTTGAAGACATCAGACCAGTCACCTTCTCCGAACCAATCACCGCCGCCGCTTCCCCAAAGCGTGAACCCGACCGAAGTTACGCCAGGCGCTACTGCTGCGACAGGAGACTCCGCAACACAAGTAAAGGGGAAAGGTGCTAGTGGCACTCCGAAAACAGCGGCAGCTGGAAAGGCTACCGCTGCATCTAAGGGGACCGTTGGGCCGTCGGTCGTGTCAGCAAAGGCGGCAGTAGAGGCGGGAACAACAGGAGGCTCGGCGGCGGCGGTGGGAGGGGCTGCTCGGGCGAAAGCCGGGGGGGCGGCTGTTGGTTCGGTAGAGGAAAAGACAGCGGTCTCTGCCAAAGAACGGGGAGAGGTAACGACAACAGACATGCCCACCGAGGATAAGAAGAAGGGTCTCAAGGCTGGACCGGAAACAACCGCGGCGGAGAAGGTGTGGCGTGCCGCAGTCAGCAGTTTGTGTGTCAGGTGTTTGGTCGCATTGTTGACGGTGTTGCGCGCGTGTGGCGTTCGAAAGTTGAAGCGGGCGCGAGCACCCCGTTCTATCCTGGCTTATTGACGAAGAGCTTCCCCCTGGAAAGTTGTGAGAGAAAGATACACCTTTTGCGTTGATGAAACGAAGAAACCATCAAGAATTCGCCCACGACTCCGTGTATACGCCGGCCCCGCCAACTCCCCCGTCCCACACCCTCGAACAGGTGCTGACCCTGGTGGAGATGGGTCTGGTAAACAAAGAGGAGGCATCGGCCTACTACGAAGCCCTCTCCGACCTCGAGCGTACAACGCAGGAAGCGAAGGCAGCAGCCGCCGCGGCCGCCGAAAGCCAACCGTCAGCAGCCCGGCCCTCGCCCGCGTCACCGTTCTCGCCGCAAGAGGGGCCCTTGAGCCTCGTCCCGTTCCCGGCCGTCTGCGCCGCGCTCGGCGCCGCAGGCACGCACTCGCTTCACCTGGCCGGGGCACTTGGCACAGCGTTTTCTGTGTTTGGCGCGGTGGCAGGAGTTGCTCTCGGGGGTCTCGTGGTGATCGGGGATGACCCGCTCGGCAGAGCAGCCCGCGCCGCGGGGCTGGCGTTGGCGCGGTCGACCGGTGCTGCAGGGGGAGCGGCAGGAAAGAGCGTCTCGAAGTCTGCCGCTGGGGCTGCCGGGGCGGCGGTGGGCGCCGTAGAGGAGGCCGTCGTGAAAGCGCCGGCGAACTTTGTCGCCGGCGTGGCGAACTCGATCTCGAGCGCGGTTTCGTCGGCGGTGGGGTCGGTTACAGCCTTGCCCGGCGCGGTGGTGACGAAGGCTGCGGACGGAGCTAAGGGGGCCCTCCGAGACACATCGGAAGCGGTTGTGAACATGCCCGGGGAGGTTGCACGAAAGGCGGCCCAGGCGGCAGGAGGTGCTTTGCAGAGCAGGTCGAATGCGGCGGTGACCGCGGTGAGAGAATCGCCCAAGATGGCCGCGAAGCGCCTGAAAGATGCCGTCTCTTCCCCTGGCAAGACTCTCACTGCTCTCGCCAGCGGTGCATCGAGCTTGGTAGCGCAACAAATCGAGAGCAGCAAAAAGAAGGTAATTGGATCGGTTTGCTTGAGAACTGCTGTTTGGGTTACTGCTGTGTATGACAGCGGTCTGTTGTTTGACACGCTGGTTGGCGGTATTCCAAAAGATGCGTTTTCACCGTTTTTCCCTTCGTTACACAAACGATGCTCTTTGCCTGTTTCGAGTCGTGAAATTGCAGCTTTGGTTTAAGAGCGTTCTAAACGCGCGCGCTAGTCCTGCATTTTGGCTGACAAGAATTGTGTGTGTTGCTCTCTCCCGTCTCCATCAGGCACGCCCAGCCGCGTCCGCGGCGTCAACCAAGCAAGCCCCCCAAGCATCAACGGCAGCCACAAGCGTAGAGGAGAAACAGGAACCGGAAGGAATACCTATCGATGAGCTGGAGGCAAAGATGTCGTCTGTTAGAAGGGCCCTGGAGCGCTTCGATACCGTCAAGGTGTGGTTGGTGGCGTGCACTTCGATACCACCANCTGGTTAATGGCCATGTTTGCGTGTTTGCTTGTTCGTGAGTGGTCTCTCCACGGTGTGCCTTTTTTCTGTCTCTTATATTTCTTGTTATCTTCGGCCTGGTCCCTTTTTGGCCTCGCTCCTTTTCATTTTATTTTCTTTTTCCTCGCTGTTTCCTTTTATTTTATTTTATTTTTTCTCAATCTCTTTTTCTCTTTTTCTCTTTTTCTTCTCTTTTTCTGTGCCAGACGGCCTTCTCTCTGCTTGCGTCGTGAAGCACCAAGATTGAACCAAGGGGGCGTACCTCTTTCTCTCCGGCCCGTGATGGTGCCTCCTAGTCTCAGTTGTTACCTCGCATAGCGCGCAGAGGGAGTGGAGGACTCCAGAATATCTGTCGTTGATTTTTTATTGACTTGCGGACCCCTCGGGGCCAGTTTATTTGAGTGTACCTTTTAAGGGTAAGTTAGCCTGCGACCACGGGAATCGACCGCGTCGAGTGTTGGATCAGTACGGACATACGAAGGTACTGGGTAGAGAGAGATCGGAACGGTTTTTAATGTGAAGAAAACAACAACAACAACAATGCCTTTGTTACAATGCTTTTGTCTTTAGATGTGGTGCGCTACGTTGTGGTCTGAACTGTTTGTCATGAGATGAGCACCTTCGTGCCGTGCCAGCCCTAGCCCGGTGCGTATGTGACTTCATTTTCTGGCAAAGTTTGCGAATGCTTTTTTTTTCAAGAGCGAAACACGTGATTGCATCGCTACAACGTTCTGCCCATCTTCTCGATTGTCCGTGTGAAGCTGTCGCTATCGCTGTTGCTAACCTCCGCGATGGTCCCTGGACGTTTTTGTTGGCTTCTCGTCTTTCAGAGCCGCATTGAAGAAGCGAATACGTCGGACACGATGCGGAAGACAGTGAGCATGACGCGAGGCATGGTCATGTCAGCCGAGAGGGAGAAAATCGAGGAGGCGCGAGCGGCCGCTAAGAGGCAAAACGAAGGCCGAGTGAACGGTAGCAAGGAGAGCACGTCCGTCAGGTATGAAGCATGTCCACCTACCCTTGCCATCTTCCCTTCGTCCCCCTTGTCCGCCTTGTCCCGTGTTTTCCCGCCTTGACAACTGTCTTGTTGACTAGATGTCTCCATAGGGCTTTTTCGATCGCAGGTCCCCCAGCACCTGAAGTTAACAGAGTATCTTGGATGTGTCGCCATGTCAGCACCGCTGTTTCAATAGGAAACAGGGCGTTAGGCTTTCTTTGGGGTATCAGGGGTCCGGTTGTCGATCTTCTACATAAGTTTGAGGCCTTGAATAGACTGTGGTTTCCCAGCGTTGGGCGTAGTGGCGCAATCGGTGTCTTGGTACAGCTACGCAAGCACTTAATTGTATACAAGTAATAAAAAAAAATTCAACGTCAGTCCGAGGAACACGACGACCTGTGTAGCATCATCAACTTCCCGATTCCGCACGCCCCTTGTTGCAGACCGGGTGGGGAGCTGCCCAGCGTAGCATCGACCACCACCACAAAATTACCAAAACCGAAACCGATGGACCAAGACAGACGCAAACTAGTCGCGGAGAAGCTCCTGGAGAAGGCATCCCAGAGAGCCACGGAGGCGAAGGCCGGCCTTAAGGCGGCGGCAGCGTCGTCGCGACGAGAAGCCGAGAACTTCCAAGCGGCGTCCCGAACAGCCACCCCCATCGCTGGCGCCGACAAGAAAACTCCGCAAGAGACCGTGGCGACGCATTAGGGCTGGCTCTCCATGACCATCGTGTTTTAGGAATCAGCCCCATGGTCCATACCTGTACGTATGATAAGGCCTCGGAAGTTTTGCTTGGTGTTTCTATTTTTGTTTATGCAGGGCCCCGTTCTTTTGTTGCCTTGTGTTTCATGGTTTTGGACACGCAAGACACGCGCATTCTCGAGGTGTATGGGGTGTTGGAGTTCTTTTTCTGGTGGGTCACATGGAACAGGTTTCTGTTTTCTCTTGAGGCTTTTTCTGTTGGGGCGGGTTCTGGTATGCTGGTGGCGATGGCACAGCAAGTGAGCAGGCAGGCCCTTGGGCTGTGTTGGCGGGGTGAATGAAGTTGACGGTAGTAATTCATCGATTATGTTTCTGATTCGACGTGAAGGGTTTGGCGATGCGGGGCGCACCAACGTCGTATTGGCCACCGATGTTGTTTTGGCCGGCATTGGCATTGCTGCTGGATATGATCCGAGGTCGGAGGTTTGGCGTTCATTGACAGCCTGTTTCCCGATAAGCGCTTCGAAGCTCTCCTAAATATATATTTGGTCGGTGTATTGTGACCGCTCAGGGCCTTGAAAGATGGAAGCCTGTTGGATTTGGGGCCCAAAGTATAAATATGGTATGCAGTTGTCACACGCGGGATAGTGATGTGGCCTAGCAGTAGATTCAGTTAACTTTTATGCCGTCGTGCTTTCGAAACGGTGCAACGTAAAACATTACGTGATGCGCGGCTGCTTACTACGTACAGCGCACAACGAGCGTGCGCGTGCGTCGGTGGGGGAGAGGCGAAGCAATCAACGTAAATATTCCTCGTCTATGTTGAGAAGGCAGCAGTCTGAAGTGTACCGCTTGGCGCGTTAAAACCGCTTCTTCCACTGGTTTATTGCTCGCCTGCCCGCCATGACATGGCCGGTGGGCGAGCTTGCGAAGGTCTTAACGTGGTTTAATGAAAATGAAAACAAACTACAAGGCAGGTAGTCTTCGACGAATGGCATCGCACACATGTGTTAGTTGAGAGTACCTTGCGCTCTCACCATCATGTGCAGCTGGGGTAGTACCAAAGAGGGGACATGGTGGTTGTCTGCGATGCAAGCTAACATTTAAACAGCCAACGTTGATTACCCCCCGAGTAAAAAAGACTAGCTGAACAACTGCCGAACACCGCGCACTTGATTTCATGGAAATAAAGTAAGGAGTACCGCACATTTTTTCACTTGATTTTAATAGTATATGCTTATGCTCCCACTACGCGAGAACCTTAGAGCATGTTCAAAATCAACAGCCAGCCTTCATTTGTAAACCACAGTAGTGCCAGGGCTGGAAGCGGACATTCTCTAACGACGGGGCGGGCGACTACCGGTATCATCTGGTGGAATAAGTAGACTCCCGTCGTGGACACAACGCACTTCAAACGATCTTACTTTGTATTTTCTGAGTCATCGATGTTCGGACTTGTGTGCAAGCATGCACGTCAGGCATACACCTCATGCAATCAACCACACACACATCATGTGCCCCTTTCTCTATTAGTACGCCTGCCTGCGCGTCCACAAGATACACAGCCAGGATACAGAGTGAGTGGAAGATTTCCCCGTCCTAAAGTGATGTCGTGATGCATGTCCGGTCCTAAAGTGGCATGTTTCTTTTCCCGCGAGACAGGAAAATCCGGCCCGTTCAACAAACGCCTCTACGGTGCCCCCGCTCACCAAACCAAGGCAAACACTCCTGCCAACTCTGCTTGATCTATTTCTCAGCAAAACTAACCAATCCTTGCACTATCACCACTACACATCACACCATGGCACCCAAGCTCTTCGCCGTACTCTTTGCCCTCTACTGCGCGTGCGCATCCGCGTTCATCGCACCCTCGGCCGGTGAGTTTTGGGCATTTTATTGGTCAAATCGCTTGTCGCGCGCTTGTTTGCCCATACAACGCTGCTGTTCCCATGTGTTCGGTTCATGCAGGACGCCGTGCGGCAGTAGAACATGGGCGATACGCCGCGGTTACCTGTGAATTGCTTGGCTGTCCATCTCTCTGTATGGGCTTGGTCATGGAGTTGCTGATTGCCTCATCGCTCCATGAAGCAGCTTTGTAGGGTGAGAGTTCGGGGTGCAAAATTGCTCGCTTCTCCTTTGGGGCGGCAGCCGTGGCCTCTCATGCTGCCATGAGAGCAGGCTTCATGAGGAGGTGGGGTACGGAGGTGCTTGCGCTCTCGGGAACCAGCGTGGTTGGGCTTTTTGTCCGTGATGAACGAACACGAGTCCGTGTTGGGTGCGTGTTGTGAGAGGTGCCGCTCACCCTGTCCGTCTTTTGCCTGGCGCTACCCTGGCTGTTGCTGTTCATGGATCATAAAGCTGTTTTTTATTCAACTTGCCCACGCACTTCTCAGGATGCAGCAACGAACACATTGTGTCAAGGGAACGCCAAAGTTGACATCAGTACTCAGTACTAAACAAACACAGGCTTGACCGGTAGCACAGCATGGCCTTCACCTTCTGATGGGGTTCAGTAGTACACAATTGGAATACCCGGCATCGAGAGATGCGATAACCGGCAGACGTGTTATGGGTGTGGTATACAGCAGTGCGATCTACGTGTTCGCTGTATTTACCCTGGTGTGGCACACATGATCCTTCCCATATGCAATCCTTGCCGTAGCCGCGGTCGCCCGGGATCCCACATCCACGGGCGTCAGCCGTGTCGCCTGCTGCCGGTTGCTTCACAAGTGGATTCTTTAATCAAAGCAGCGTGCATGCTCTATTGTAACGTAGCCTGTGAAGACATGATGAAATCGCTGCAACTTCACAGCTGTACCAGAGCACAGCAGCAGCAGTACAGCCCCTTCGTCTTGGCCGTCTGGCCGACTTCGCCGTAGCGAGGGTGAGAGCGCGTCGCCATTTGTTTGACGGCATGCCCGTTTGCAACGCAGCGACATGACGTGAACAAGTTAAGGAGTATTCATGAATCATCCGAAAAGAGGGTTGAAGTGTTTTTTTATCGGTCCAATGATTGGTCCCGAAGTTTTGGGGTGTGCATGTGTGTGACCACGTAGTTGAACGGTTTGTTGTCAACGATGGCCCGGCACGGTATCCTAAACGTGTCTGCCTCTCGCCCGTTGCTATCAAGTCTTGCAAAGGGACCGTGCTAGAGGGTACGCCGCGTCACTTGCGGATACTGTTGGCAACGCAGTCGTTTTGTCCACCCCGAGCCTTTCCACCCACCTTATCGCCTTCATTGAACGCTACATTCAGAGAAAGAGCGAGAGAATACCTCCGACTGGGCAAGGGGTGCTCCTCTTGACGCCCGGGGGAAGAAATTTGTGCAGATGACAAGACAAAGATATTCCTGCAACTGTTTCCTCATTATCGCGGTGGATGGAATTCGAATCAGGGGGGAGGGCGGGTGGGAGAAGGAGATGCTGCGTGCCACGACCCATTGTTAGCGGCACAGGGGCGAACTTTTGCGTCGATCCCAACTCCATCGCTGTCCTGTGACAGCGGAAAGCAAAGGGTCGTTACTTCCCCAAGGTCAATTCGGTCTAACAGTTCAAAGAACACCGAATTACCTTTTCAGCCCCTTGTAAAACATGCAAGGTACAGGGATCGTTGAGAGGGTTGGTATTCGAGTATATTCATCATTCAGGGGGACACGGGCCAAAACCGCAAGTATGATAATTGAAGTAAAGGGTCGCCTTGCTTCCTTGGAGTGCGGAGTGTGCCTACAACGAAGCCTTCAACACCTACAATAGTTTCCAAGCCCCTGGGGTTGAATTTCTGTCCCAAATAAGAATTCGGCTGAAGAAAGCTTGTGTACCAGTGTATACGAAGCAACCTTTCTGCCCAATCTCCTAGAACAGCGTCTGTGAGTCCTCCTCGACCATTAATGTTGGCCTCCACCGCCAGATGATTGACCCGTGTGCATGCCGCATCTGTACTCAGTGGCGAATCAATACGCGTTTGGTCGTCGACTTCGGTTGGCGACGGCCGGCGCAAGACGCCTTCAAATCCTCGGATAAGATTGCATGCGACAACTTCCACCCGTACTCCTGCGGCTCAATGTTAGTTCGCAACCCGCACAGTCGTGCAATAACTTGTGTGTGCATATGCATAGCGTACTAGTTGTAGTTGTAGTGGCCTCCTCCACAGACAATAATCCCTCTCTCGGGTGAAGTACATGTTAGCAAGGGTTTCTTGCGCTCAACCTACACACTTCCCATTCGTCAGGACGACCCAGGGGTTCTTCACCACAAAATGCTCGTCACCACCGGTCCGTATCCTTAGGCCCTGTGAGGACTCCATGGGAATATTTCGATGCTCCAGAAACCGGTACTTGCAGGCAAAATCTGGGGCATAGAGATACTCCCATTGAATCCTCACCGGGCCCTACGAACCGGTGGTGACGATCGCTGCTGGTGAAGAACCTCTGGGTCGTCCTCACGAATGGCAAAGATATCTTGGCGGGCTATTCGAATCCCAGCTTGATCACTTGTGGAAGCACCATTTACGCAGGCCCACGTATCAGCAGTATGGGAAAGGGTCCGTCCCGGAGATGACTGTCATCACCGATTGATCCGTTGTGTAAAAATCTTTTTAGTTGAGTTTATTTCTTCGAATTCAAGTGGTAAATCCGTACAAAGTAGTACACACGTTTCTTTGCATAACTTGGATGGCGGGTGAGTGTTTTGAGTACGTCAATGTCAGTCAGTCCGTATTTGTTGAGGTAAACATACTTCGGTATTCACGTAAGGAATACTTGTACTAGTGATGCAGTGATTGGACCATCGTCCTGAAGGATATTCTTGCAGCGTTAACCGTCTACTACCGTGATGACGATGGATCTCTCTTCCCTGTATACCATGTGCAGTCTGGCCCGGGTACACGCTGTTGAAAACGCCAGATTTCTGGAAACCCCTGTGCACCAGTGGCCAGAAACCTGTAGTTGCCGCCAACCTGATGACTTTTGAGCGATTTTTCTATCGATACCTGACGGAACGGCCTCCCCCCCTCTCGCCACCAACTCCCGCTCTATTGACACCCGCAGTCAAGTCCGGATCCTTCGCTACCCCCGCCGTGCGTGCCACCTCCATGGTGGCACCCAAGATGACGATGGGCCTCGAGCAGATCGCGGACGTCCTCCCCCTGGTGCCGTCGGAGGCTCACAACGCAGGGTTCGAGATGGCGAACAACCCTCTGCTGCTTTCGGTTAGCGCGGACTCGTTCGGCGGATTGATCGGCCCCATCGGCGGCTGCCTGGCCGTGGCGATCTTCATCGTCGTCATGGCTCCCCCGCGGGTTGACTGAGGGTTGTTTTAATTTGACACGTTTTCGTTTTAGGTCGAATATAAAGATTGTTGTTTTGGGAGGAAGTCAGGGGCTGGCGACTGAACTGGACTGCTGGGGGAAAGATATTTCTGGGTCTCGGGAATGTTTTGCTGCACGCGGGAAGATTTAGAATTTAAATCCCCGTAACCCTCTGCCCGAACTGGTTGGTATGTGTCTTTTCGATGGGCCTGCCAAAGGCGGGGTTGTTCGTGAGACCATTCCCGCTCCGCCATAACGAGAGTTTTCGGTTTTGGGCATCTGCAGTATGTCACGGTCGCTTAAGCTCTTGGATTAAGAATCGGCAAGTTCGATATCGAGGATGTTTGACCGATGGGGCCTCTGCCGCCCAAGAATGTTTTCGATTTTTGAACATTCACCGCGTTCATGGGATGCGTCGCACGTTCCGACGCAATCGATTTCTGCCACGGTCTCTCGTGCGGTGGCCATAGAAATGGTGGAGTAAAGATATAAAATTTTGAAAATGTTCGTTGGACGCATTCTACACTTGCGGCTTGGAGACCTCTGGCCGGACGGCCAGCTTGTCGTTAGCTTAAGCACGAGTGTTGGGATGAGGGTTTTCCTCCATGCCCACACGGCGTTGTTGTTGTGTCTTTCGCTGAGGACAGCACTCGCGGCTCATGTTCGTGGACGGCGATCGAAGCTCATGCTTGAATTGAAGCACCTAGTCAATCAAGCACGACGGTTCATGATGTTTCGGCTCGTTCCATAGTGAAAAAGGCTCTTCGCAGTGATGAACGGTTACTCGAGCCCGATTGCTTGGAGCCCCCGGTATTGCCTGTGGTGGGCGTCATCCAATCATATGACACTGAAAGAGAGTGCATTGAGTGCCTGACATGTATGGCGTGGTTGATCACTCAAACACCTCTAGCTGTCACCTCTTGCATGGGCACGAGTAGTCCTCTTTTTGCCGCCCCGACACCTCTTGCTTCATAACCCATGACAGCCACTTCGATGGGCACTACTGTAGCCAACAGCCAAGACTGTCGCAGGACACAAACACCGTACGCATGCATGGCTACCTTTTTCCTCCACGATTGACTGTCGTGTTCCAGTGGCCGAACGCGAGAGGTGAGGTGCACTAGTCTACACGGTGAGAACAGCGTGGTTTGACTGCAATATCATTTTTTGGAGCGCTAGTGTATGTGCATAGCGGGGCACGCACCGGAATGCGTCGAGGTGTAGCAGTGTAACGGCCGTGGCCGAGACTTTGTGCTCTCTTCAGGCGAGGACTCGATAAACCTCGAGGAAAGCGCAATGCGAAGTTGCATCGCCTCACACGACAAAACGCAAGAAATATACAAGGGGTGAACGAACGAAAGCGCTCGCCACTTGACGAGCGCGTTGGTTCGGGAGAGAATCATTCGACAAAATTTGTTTGTACCGAGGAGCGACAAGACAGCCGCACTCAAACCGGTGCGCCAAAACACGAAGAGTCACTTGTGACTGACGTGCGTCTCGTTCACGACCACATAGATTCTTAATGTGAAGACCACAACAACATAAGACAAGCTACAACCGAACATTGCTGGACCTTTGGCTTGTCCCGCGGGGCTGAAGTGCTCGGTACCAAGACCGTGTGTTCAGAGTCACCTCTAAACTTAAGTAGTCTTTCTTCTAGCCTTCAAGGCGTCGACCTTCTTCTGCATCGCCTCCAGCTTGGCAGCCTGGCCCAATTGAAACGACGTGGCCGGAAAGACAAGCACAAGGGCGGAACGCGCCGGGGGGGGGGTGCACGCGCGGGGGGGCGGCGGGCTCAGTTTGCACCGTCTGCAATTCAACGCTCCAACAACGATGTGCAAAACGTCTCGTGTCGTTCAACAGATTGTTACAATACATCTATGCACGCTTGTGCCAAACTCCACTGGCGCCGCGAATCACCGTGATTTCAGGTGAAATCCATGCTCAAACCAAGACAGTGAGGCCCACCAGTGGGCAGCGGGGCATGCCTCGTCAGATGTACCAAAGAACATCGCGTGCGCTACACGTACGAAGCTGGCGGCCGAACGTCCGCTTCGAAGAGGGTCAGAGTCGACGTCTCGGGAGGATAATTTCACTTTCCGTATTTCCGTAACGGCGGTTATCCACTGATATATTTGCCGAGAGACCATCTCGGGAGGGATCATGTGGATGGACCGTGGCGTTCACTACACCACCTTTTAATCAAAACGGAAATGTGCGCAGTAAGTGGGGGGTTGGACTCATTCAATGACCGTTTCATCGCGGGACTCTGCGTGTATACCAGAGGCACTAACAACGGTGCCTCGACACCACCCGTCACACCCTATGGTGATACACGGAAGAAACAGACTGCCATCAGCATCCCTCTTCGCCCACCTTTCTAGCCTTCTCCTTGGCCTTTTCCTCCTCCAAGCCCAGCACCGCTGCCGCCGCCGTCGCCTTGTCTCCCGAATCACCTTCCTTCTTGGCCGGCGGCATGGCGCTCTCCGCGTCGGAGCGAGTAGGGTACGGTACTTGGACTACCGTGCCCAACGACTCGCCTTCCTTTGTCGACAACTGGAACGAAAGGACCGTAAAATACTTGGTGAGTCGACCGCTACCTTCCCGAGGACAGTTGAAGGTTGGTTCTCCGTGCCGCGCAAGCGCCTTGTTTCACACTTGTGGGATGCCTAGGTTTACTCAACATGAAGCTGGGGATATATATGGTGGCCACATCATCTCTCCAAGTGTGCGTTCAGCGCACCTGGTCTACGTATGGTAAAACAACAGAAGAGTAGCGGACGCACTACCTTCGCATTTCATCTCCCTTCTTTGTACCACGTTGAACGGACCTGGGCGGTGGAAGGCCGGATCAAGAGAGGCAAGACCATCAAGACGAGCTGTTCGCGTTCTTTCGGAGGCACATCGATGCGAGACCGAGAGATGACCAATAATCCGATGGTCTGTAAATGAAACACCTCAACCTGGTTACGAACAGGTGGGGCTCCCGTCTTAACAGATCATGAGGGGTGTGTGTGTGCGCGTACTAACATACTACATGCATCACTCCATTCATTCCTTTGAAGCATTCCTTTCGAGAGAGAGAGCAGTCTCTACTCCTCCAGCACAAAACACACATTAAGAAACGCTCCATCCGCTCTCTCGCCGAAACCCGTACCTTTAATCCCACCCCGCCAGCCTTGGTCCTGATATACGCCAAGCCGAACGGGTGTGAAGTTGCGTCCCGGTCCAACATGGAGGTCACTACCCCGGCACTGAGGGCAAAACAAGCAAAAACAGAAAATGTGGCCAGCAAGACAGTCAGTCGCAACCGACGCAGGCGTCATGGAACCTTCAGACCAAGAGCAATTTCCAACGGGGATCAAACAAGAGGTATTAAGGATGCCCCCGCCGTGTACAAGACGAGGTTAACAGCATGTATATATATATATATATATACATCACCAGAGCTCATTCCCGCCCAGAGACCTCATCGCGCTGAGAAGCGCTGCACAAAGACAACTCCCAACATCCGGAATCGTGGCGGCGCATGTCTCGAGTAGATACCTACTATTTGTATTGGGATGCCAAAAATCAACAACACCGCGGTGACCGGAACAACACGATTCCAGCACAACTCGCCTCTTTCCGGTTTCCTGCACGAAAAGCTCTGTCCCCTCTTCGGGCGAGGCCGAGTCCTCGAAGGACACCCCGTAGAGGGCTTTGCTGACGGCGTTGTAGGCGTTAACTCGGGAGATGGACTCTTGTCCGATGTAGCAGCCCTGCCAAGGGACGGGTCCGTCGCATGAGAAGAGAAGAGAAGTGCATTTGACAAGACATGTAACACGAACGATAGACCCCCGCACCCAGCCGCCGGGATGGGGAATTTTTGAGGGACTTGGACAGACCGTGCGCGAAAAAATGGGCTCCTCAGGTCGAGATCGTTCACAATTCGCGGTTGAGTGTCAGGCAATGATGAAGTATGCACGTGGGACTAGACAGACCATGCACGAAAACATCAGCTCCTCAGTTCGGGATCGTGATCGCTGTTGCTGTTGTGCTTGAGCACGATGGAGTGTACACATGTACCTGAAGGATAAGAGGCATGACTCGCTTGTGACAGCCGCTACAGGTGCCATCGGCAGTGAACAGCCGTTCTTCTACTTCAAGGGCTGTCAGAATCAAACACATAAGAGCGTTTCGTGATGACAATCAAACGGCAGGCGAGAAGTGAAGCGTTTTTTGCTTGGCATTCGTGTAGCTGGCCGCGATCACAACACCTCCAACTCCTCGTTGAAGCCACGTGCAGACGAAGCTAAATTGGCTCACCTGCCTGCCCGCCGGTGTCAAAACATAAGATCCAAATAACAATGAATTACCTCTAGACTATACAGCCTCAACAAAGAAGGGTCTATCGGTACTCATTCGGTGGTTGCAATTGTCAGCACTCGATTTCGAACCTCCCACTCCCCCACTCCCCTTCTTCCCTACACATGGATTGGTGCCTAACAGATATGTAAAGCAGAAGACACCTTGTCGAAGTGCACGGCGTGCCACAATCCGGCCTCCAGGGGGTTGTAGTCGGCCGTCAGCTCTTTCCCAGGGAAGGGGAAGCCTAAAGCAGAGGGACGGAAAGGGGGCGTCACGGAGATTCGCCATCCATAGTTTCGCACTTGTCTGATGGTTTGTATGGTGATGCTCTCGGAGGTGTAATTTCAATAGTTCGATCGATGGAGCGGGATGAATGGTCAGAACACAATAGTGGTGTTCTACGAGGTTTTCCAGACCAGACGCCAATATTGTAGGACTTGCCGCACTCTTGCCACTTCGAAAATGTTTCCACAAGCACGAGCGACGGGCGAGCATGCCCTAGTGTTCTAGGTAGCTCGTCATGGCCCCGGAGGATGGATAGGATGGACAGGAAGCAAAGCAACTACGACGGAGAAACACACACGAACCAAATTGTGCACCCGTATCATGCCTACCAAATGCGACGAGACAAGTTGGTTCAACAACAAGCAATGCCAACATCAACGTAACGCACCATCTCCGTGCAGACAGGCCGAGCAACAACACAATGAGGCACGTACCCCCGGAGGAGAACCATGCCACCATGCCAAACATCGCCCGCCCAAACACGACCAAACTTGAGCCGTGGACAGTGAACTGTTGGAGGTTTTGTCTGTTCACCTTTCTTGATCCCGAGAATCTAAGCCGTGGACACTTATTAAACTGTAGGAGATTTTCTTTCCTCACCTTGCTTGATCCTGAGAGTTTGCCACTCCTCTTCCCCCGCGGCCACGACTGACGGCGAGGCCAAGAGCGCCGACCAGACCTTCGAGGACACCGACACCGGAACGATTATGCTGTAGTAAGGGTGTTGCTGCGTCCCCTGACCCCCCCCGTCCCCCAAGAGCATGCCTTCGGCGGCACGTGAGACCCCCTCCTCCTCCTCTCTTGTTCTTGTCAGAGGCCGTCCATGACCAATGATCAAGACCTTCAAAATAGAAGCGCCGAGCCGGGGGGGGGGGGGGGGGGG